ACTGCTTATTAGTGACGACATCATGTTCGATCGCTAAGCTAGCTCTATTCCAAATGCATGGGGTTTGTTTACAGAGATGTTATGAACAGCAGCAATTGACCTAATCACTCTTACCACAATTATCTTCCATCAACAACCTTAGTGAGGGCCATTTGAAGCGTTCTACTGCTCAGTGCGGGAGTGCATTCCAAAGCAACACGCTTTAAGAGGACAGAATACATGGATCATAGGATCTTTCGGCGGCTAACCTAACAGGCTGCAATATTTCCATGTAGGTTTGAACGTACCAGTCGGATCGCTGGCTAAGGCCGGCCCTCCCCCTTCTGTGATGCAGCGGGCGCTACTTTTCAGTTCATGGCTGATGCAGAACATTCCTTCGAAGAGTTAATTTGATCAGCGGTTCGTAACTCAGCACGCGGCAAATGCGCATGGCCCGGCGAAGCCGGGTCATGCCGCAGAAGGAGGAGAGCCCGGCGTTAGCCGGGGATCCGACTCCGACTGGTATTTATAAAAGCACCATTAGTTGGAGATAGGACAGCATAGCGGTGGGAAGAATTTCGATGATAAAAAGTCGGTAAGTCGAAATCATAGTGGCTCTTATCATTCCTCACTGGCCAACAATTCCCTTTCCGGTGAAACTCGAGCGTTTAGCGGTGGAAGCAATTCCGACCGCTAAACTGAGGGATATTGCTAGGAATAGAAATTTGGCCACGATGATGTGAGCATATACGGAGTCCCAAAAGCCGTTGTCGGACACTGACAGAATTTATCTCCCACCTTTAATATTCCCTGAGCACCCCTGAATTACTTGCTGGAGCAGTTCCACAGTGTTGCAACAACTCTGCTGTGAATTTTCGGGGTATCTTATCAGCTCTTATCATATCCTGCCGCAAACCAATAATTATCCCATCCTGCACACTATCTTGCCTCTTGGAACCGACGTCCCGTTGTGCTGGGTTGCGACTTAGGTGTCCCTATTTTTCTGAGGCTCCTTACCCGAGTAATCGTTAGAGGCGTCCTGTTATCAATGCCTGCACCCACCACATAATTCCCATCCTGCCCCCACTATTCTCTACTTGTATCCAACGTCCGGTCGTTGCTCTGGCCGGTGTTATGAACTAGGTAACCCACTCTTTCTGAGGCTGGTATCTTATCATCTGTTATCACTTTCTTGCCCCACCCACAATCAATGCCATCCTGCCCCTATCTACTTGTGGAACCAAGCTCATCATTGCTGTGGCCCGCGCTTGAATTGCATCCTCATCTCAGAAGGCTGCTCGCGGTATCTTATCAGTTCTTATCAGTCCCTGCCTACCAATAGTGTTCCTGCACGACCCCCTACATGACTTATCAGTTCGAGCGCTCTATCGCTCTTTTGAAGGAAGTTATGAATTTCCGGTCAGCACACACTAATAAGCAGTGAGGAATGAGTTCTGTTGGAATCATTGAGATCGTTATACTTGAGTCATATCGATCGCATTGTTGTTGTGAGCGGTGAAGCGGATTTTCCCATGTTACCTTGTCACTTTCAGCTCCTATAACATCCGTCACCCGCCAATAACATTCCCGTCCCATATCACTATAATATCACCCTATACATACCACTATCATATCACCCTATATCACCTCTCGGATCCAAGGTCCCACCGTTGCTGTAACCTGCGTTACAAATTTGGTGACCCTCCCCTTCCGAGGCCCCTTATCGGATCTTATCAACTGTTATCACTTTCTGCCACCCGTCAATAATGTTCCCGTCCCACACCCTATATCACCTCTCGGATCCAAGGTCCCGCAGCTGCTGCAACTTGCGCTACGATTTCGGTCACCCTCCCCTTCTAAGGCCCCTTATCGAATCTTATCAACTGATATCACTTCCTGTCACCCACCAATAGTGTTCCCGTCACACCCCCTACATCACTTGAAATCAATGTCTCATCACTACTGGGACCGGCGCTATGAATTTCGTGACAAACAGCAGACGGACAGACACACACACGCACGGACATAGCGGATTATATGTAGTAGGATGATAGGCACCAAACACTGGCAAATGTTCATTAAAATGGAGAAACATGATGAAATGGACCGTCTTCGAAACATGGGAATTAGGCTAAGTGTTAGTGCTCAGGACAGAAATCCTGTCAGTTATCATAGTACCATGGGTTTAACCATGCGCGCAGTAGTGCGCGTCAGCCAGACTGGTAGATTATGAAACCTGAAAAGAGTAAATTGGTTAATATACTGAAACTTGGTGATGAATAAAGTACCCATGGACCAGTAATAAGAAGTCTGGCGTCAGGACGTAATCTGTTACTCCAGGTGGAAGCAAAACATCTGCAGCAATCGGAATTGGAGAAGCACACGGAGCGCGAAAGACAAACAGCAACAGTGGTAATCTTACTCTAGTAGCCTATTACTTTGAAAGTGACGATTTTGTTTGGTCCATAAAAGACCTTGGTCTGTTCAGGATTAATACCTGCGACTCCCCAGAGAATAGGGTGGGGCAGTAACCGTACCCTTAGTGATCTGTTTGACCTTTGAAAATCTTGGTTCGCCGCGATGCCGGTTGTTAAAAACATGTGATCATCTCGCGCTGCAATCTGCGGTGACGGGCTCCTTATGTCAGCTTGTGAGATGAACGATGATCATCTTCTTGCTTATCGGTCGACTGAGCTCGTGGATTCACTGGATTTAGTGCGGTTCCCTTACATTGCTTCACGCTTTTGCGTGCATTTAGCCATTGTTCATTCTAGATTGAAAGAAAGAAAAAGACGCTGAAACGTAGGCATACTCCTCCCCTCCCGCCCCCCGCTCTTGCTATACAGCGCTCAGTCTTCGTGATGGCCCGCGTCGACACGCTACCATTGCATCAGCGCTGCCATGGTCAAGATACGGACGCAGCCGCTGACGGAATCCGTCGGAGCTGGCAGCGTGTGTTTTGAGAGAGTGTGAGAAATGGGAGGGTAGGCGTAGCCTGAATCATGCGGTCTCGTTTGTGGCTGTGTTCGCGTCTATGTCGTTTAGACGCTCCTGCAACGGCAGCGCATACAGCGTGTCGCGCGCGTCGACGTGCGTCATCTTGAAGTCTTACAAGGGTGGTCGAAAGCGAGCTTTTTAAAAATGGTTTTGTGCATATTGTAGGGGCATATACGAAGTTCATTTTCTCTGCGCGCTTCTAGGAATAAAAAAAACGTAAAAAAGGTCGATGGTTCGTATCCTACCGAGGACAGAATTTTGCTTTTCTTCAATTCTTTGGTTTTTCGTCCATGTTTGTCTAAATACTTTGTCCCAACGGAAACATTCACGATAAAGTGAACAATCCTATTTTTATGAAGCAAAACTGCTTTTTCTTTCGAATTTGTTAGTATTCACAGACTGAGCTGTTCGGCGCTATGCTGGTGCCAGATGGCACTGGCGCCAAAAATAAAACTATCGATTACCCCTGGGAGCAAACTTTGAGCAAAAAAAATTTCATTGACATTTCGGGTTGTAGGTGACCAACCATTGAACATGTACTGACCATTTGGTCGGCAGTGTGAGCGGAGTCTCACATCTTCGTAACAGAGATGACGTATCGTTGACGCTACGGACCCCGGACAACCCAATAAGCAAACCCAAAAGGTCAAAACAATTGTTTTGACCGAAAATTCGTTTTTAGTGGTAATCAGTGGCCCTGATCACAAATATAACACCTATTCTTGGCGTCCACGCAATTTGGCGCCAGAATAGCGCTGAACGCCCGCTATATGGGTGTACATAATGAATTCAGTGGAAAGAAGATGTGGCCCCAAATTGGCTATAATTGACACCACACCAGAAGTTACTATAATTCGCGATCAGATCCACTGTCTAGTCTATGAAGACCAACGTTCAGCTACAATCTTGTTCAACTGAAAATTGAAATAGTTGAATAGCACTGACTTTTGGGGTATAGCTACTCAGTATATGCCCATGATTGGCAAATATCCGAGTTATATTCATGCGCAGACACAAATGGAAGCGAGAACAGCGAAATCTAAAAAATGCAAAAAGTCGCTCCTCGAGGGGAGTCGAACCATCAACCCCATCGTCACTGTCCGATTGTGAATCCTCGTCCTATCCGCTAGGCCATCTAGTCGCTGCCCATGTGCACCGTCCTAATCGTTGAAGAGACCATCAGAAGCAGCCCTTGAGCACGTGGCCCAACTTGGAAACTCATTTGCGACGGTTTTTGCTCTGATTCAAATAGTCCCTTTGTAAGGACCTCCACTCAGCAACTGGTCAAAGTTGCAAGTGACCTACGCCGCATAGGGGCCCAAAACGAAGCAGTTTCCAAGATTTCTTTTCACTCGTTTTTTACCTTTCCTGGAAGCGCGCAGCGAAAATGAAGCACACCTTTCAGGTCCTTGCATGACCCCCTACAATATGCAGAACCGTTTTTGGAAAGCGCACCACGCCCTGAACGACCTCCCTTGTTAGAGCTGGCTGAAAGCTTGAAGGAATGAATGGGAAAGAAACTTCTGTTATCCAGCTTTTTCTATCATTCAAACAGTACCGAATTTCATGCTAGAGCATTAGCTTGGTGGCTAATTGAAACCAAAAACGTTTCAGGATGACGAGTGTAGGACTGCTTCCGAGCTCATGCCGGCTCAGGTAAGACTATGTTTAATCGTGCATTGTCATGTACAATAGCTCTAGTGGCACGTTCCCATCGATGCCTTAAAATGTGTAATTGATTTTTGCAGGATGATGGATGCAGAACCGCTTCTGAGCCGACACCAAGGGCGGTAAGGAGCATGATGAATCTACATTAACATTAACAACATTAACTAACATTTTCTTGCGTACATAGCAGGGCTGCAGTGATGAACTGCACACTTAGCTTCGTGGATCCTGATCCTCACCATGTGCGAAGTGAATAGTTACGCAGCTTCGTGGCGTGCCCTTTCTCCTCTCAAATGTAGGCTGAAATATGCTGATTGGGTACTGATTTATGGGCAACTTCTTTTAACTCCGCCCGTGCTGCTATGCGGGCTCTTTAGGCGAACACGCCACTTTTCTTCGAACCCTTACCGCTGGTTGTTCTCTACCTCTGAATGCGTCCTCGCTGCGAATTTTAGTAACGATGCACCTTGTGGCGCTGGCAGAGCTGGAGATGTCATTTAGGTGACACACCATGGAAATTTCAGTGCTCTTTCGAGCAGAGAAAGCGGCACGCAACTGCAGCTGCGGATTTATTCACCTCTCATACGGTGAGGGCCGGTCGACCAAGTTTTACAAAAAACTCAATCCATTATCATTAGTCGAAGTTGGAGAGTTATTGTCAACGTTAGAGTGACATAAATGAAAACGAGGAAAGCCATGACGCGCTCATGCGCCAGATGGGAATCGTGTGCTTGTAGTAATAGTGATCTGTGCCAGCTAATATCCATAGAGAATGGTACACCCAAAGCGGAAGTTTTTGTTCGTGATTACGAGTCTTTGAAATGAAGTTGGTAGATCGCAAAATTTGCAGGATGATGGTTGCCGGACTGCTTCAGAGCCCTCACCGAAAATGGTAGGTCCATAGTCATTGTCCCCATCAGGAAGGAACTATGTCATTCAACAACTTTTTTACAGGATGACGGATGTAGGACTGCATCCGAGCCCACACCAAAGGCGGTGAGTTTACACTTTACTCTCGTATCGCTTATCGCCCGCCTCAACCCTCTCTGAGGCTGATATGCTATGCCTTGTGGATAAGACTCAGAATGGAGTTAACGTAACAGAGAGATTATCAGAATAGAATGCAGCATGAGTTTTGACAACCCATAAGCTCCTCCACTTTTGGAAAACTGAAGGCTTTTTATTAAAAGATATGTAAAACGAACCCAGCAGGAAAATCGAGGTTGAAGGGGCCTTTTAGTGGAACGTCTAACAGCAGGAATCGTTTCGAGCGCTGATTCAGGATCTGCATTCAAGCTCGCAGAGCTACGAGATTAGCACGGTTATTCATGTCTCATTCATTGCCTAATATCAGAGCTCTGGGCCAAGTGTGAAAGGGAGCTAAGGTGTGGAAGAAGTCTTTAGCGAAGTAACAGCAAGGCCTATAAGCGAGCTTCCAGCGAAGGACCTTTGCTACGCTGCCGTATTTAAAGATGCTAACGGCTTTGCCCGAAGAATTAGAGAAGCGAACCTCTAACTACGCTCAGATACTTGCCCTGCTATTTCTGGAGCAGATTCGGGGGAGCGTCTGGAAGGATGTCTTATGGAATGGATAGGATGTCTCATAGAAAAGGCCTTTCTGATCCGATTGCGCTAAAAAAAAATGACGAATGTGGTGAGGGGGCGTGTGGCAATACCTAGTGCGGTCTGGTTGATGGACTGTTTGATGTGAAGAATGTGTCCGATTTGGTTCGAAAAAAAGTGTCCGGATTGGAAATAGAAAAGAGGTGCAGGGTAGAGGCCACCAATTGGGTCAGCTACCACTCGATCCTGATAGGGAGCACACCAGGTATAGGTGTAGTTTGTAGAAGGGTAGGGATGCCGCAGCACGGCGCTGGAAAGAGGAAGCGAAGGCCCGTGAGTTAGAAGTTGCTGCTATCTCCGAGAGTTACAAGACTGCAAATAGGCCATGATCTGTTGCAAAATGGCGGCCCACGGACCAAACATGTCAGCAAGAGCCAGAAAATGCAAAAGTGGCGTCATGCACTCATACCCTCTATTTAGTAAGTTTTTTTCAGGAAGGCTATTCGAAGACTGTTTCGAGACTCACTCCAGAACCGGTTAGTTCCCTTATGTCGACGCTTTTCTTGCTGCGAAGATCATATAGCTTTACTTTTTATCGTATTGCATCAATTCTACTCTTACTTTTCTTTTCTGTGGGTAGACACACCGCTTCTGGAACTCCATTGCACTGGACAGCGTACGACAGACTGAAAGGGAGATGAGGGAGATGACGGGTGTACGCATATAGTTTGAGATGATCTTTATAATACTTTTTCGCACCTCCGCATACTTGCCAGGGATATCCCCGCTCGATTGGTTACGCTGACTGCTGACCTCTCATCACTAGACCAATTCAGACAGAATAACGACAGTTGAACAGAAAACTTCATTATGTGTTGCATTAGAACAAACTGTTTTATCACGTCTGACGCACCCTACTGCGCGCCTGACGTGATAAATCAATGCGAAATGATTTACCATATAAAAATCATCTCGCATTGATGCCGGGTTTTTATTCCTTTCTAGTATAATTTTTCGTTGACTCTCTTCTTGATTGTGTTGTAGACTTCAAACGTGACCTTTCCCCGCGCCCCCTTCCGATCGACGTGCAGTAAAGCAATAAGTTCACTGTACAATTAGCCTGAAATACGTTATCACCAATACCACGAAACCTTTATGATTTGGTAGTTTGAAAGGGAACAGCGCCTCTTATCAGCCCTATTAGCTGTTATCCCTCTCTGTGACCCATCAGTAATAACCCCGTCACATCCCCATCAATTATTGGAACCGACTTCCTACTGATACTGTGACGAGCGGAGCTTGAGTCTGAAATTTCCTTATCAGATCATGACAATACCTAACGCGTCGTGCTACCCATGAATGATATTCATGACCCATAAACTACATCATATCTTAGAAGTGACGTACCACCGATGCTGAAATCACTTCTGAACTTGGGGAGCGTCATCTAACGCCCTTATCATCTCTTGTATACTAACCAGTCGGCTCGCCGGGTAACGCCGGCGCGCCTCCTTCTGATACGGCCCTGCTGTGCTGGGTGGGTCGCCGCGAGCATTTTCTTTCACATATTTCTAAACTCAACTGATATCCGCCTTTTGTTATGTACTACTCCACTTTTTTTCCGGTGTCTGAAGTAATTATATAGATTCTTCGTCTGACTCCGCCCACCTAGGAGCAGGCTCCGCCCACAATGTTTGTGCCCTACAATCTTCACCGGCGACCCTCTGCTGACCTTAGTCCACTTTTTTCCGGTGTCTGGAGTGTTCTGGAACCGAGCTACAAACTTTTAAAATGAATACCCTGCGATTTAGGGCAAGCTCCGCCCACTGTGGGCGGGTCTCAACACACTTTGAGCGTGCCCTATATTCGCCAGATATTTACATTCTACACTGAGTTTTTTGCGACTTCCAAACACTCTCGCGAACCGGGTTACTGAATTTTGCGAGAAGCACCGCCCACCTTGAGTACGCCCTGCGCCCATTTTGGATATGTCTTAGTCTGGCGACTCCTTACTAACCTTATTCCCTTTTTTTCCCCATCTTTAAGCTGCTCCGGAAGCGAATTATGAACATTTTTCTGCGGAACCCCAAACTTTCGGCGAGTGCCCCGCCCACTGTGGGCGGGGCTTCCCATAGGTCAAGTGTGCTTTTTATTTCTTGTCCCATGCCCCACCTTGACCCGACCTCTCCAAGTCGTTCTTCAGGTCGAACCGAATTTCCGGACAGACAAACAAACTTACAAACAAACAAACAAACAAACAAACTTACAAACAAACAAACAAACAAACATACTTTGGAATCGTCCGTTTGCGTGGATGATTTTGGTTGGCATGCGCTTAATCGAATCGCTAAATGGGAGCGCCACTTTGTAATTTTTCTGTCTAATTGATATATATTTCAGCAAGACGACACAAACACTGCTGTGCCATCGACTCCGAAGCAGGTATAGTTTGTAGCTGTCTAGCTGGTTGAACTGGTTGGGTTATGCTCCTTTTTGAATCTCAAGGAAGTGTATCACTTCCAAATTTTTGGTCATAAATGCTTGCTTAGGACGCACGGTTTTGGGTCTTTTTCTCCCTATAATGAGTGGGGCGTGCGCGCGAAGAATGAACGTAGAACTACCCTCTAATTGCATACCACGCAGCATGCAGCTCCTGGTAGGGAGATGTTCAGAAATCGTCAAGGGGGGCCCAGTCTGCGCTTGGCGCATCTCTCGCGCTCCTGCTGTTTCCACCTTCGCGACATCATCCGCAGCGACCCGACGTTTGCACATTAGGTGGAAAGCTTGTGTGCTTGTGAATCAAGGAAGCGAAAGCGGCACTCCAGGCAGCAGACATTCAGGGACATTCGCGGCACGACTTCTCAATATGGTAAGGTT